CCAGTGATGGATTGTCTTCCCCGTCCAGGGTGTCTCCTGTCTTGTGCCCTTTGTTTGCCAGGATAGGCTCCGGCTCCCCTGCGACCCTGAACTGGATGAAGCATTTAGAAAATGGATGAATAGATAAAATTCTGTGCTCATTTTTTGCATTTTGAATGTTTCTCAGCTTATGCGCAAGGGTTGCTTAAAATGGTTGGGGAGTTTCTTAATTTCCACATTTTTCAGGACAACAGCTGAGGATGTTTGGAAGTTTATAAGTCTGTTTATAACGCTGGAATGCTGTCAGTCCGTTTGATTGCAGCTGTGTTCCTTGTCCTATCCCTTTGACCAGGACCTTTGAAGAGGAGAAGGCTGGTGTACCGATAAGTGAAGTCACATCTCTGGAGGAGATTGGACAGGAGGTTTCGGGGGACGCTGGAGAAGATGAGAAAGAAGAGAGTTCTCCGGAGGTGAAAAAATCAGGAGCCTGTAGCCCATCGCAGGATGAGGATGGGTATGTTTCTACTCCTGCTCTTCGAAACTAAATTTGACACTTTAGTTCCATGTTTAGTGAAACATTTTCCGAAGATAGTTGTTACCTAGAGATGATAAACTGCAGATGTGCTCACAAATCGAATAGTATACTGATGGTTTGGCACACAGCATTTTTTGTTTTGTTGAGGGTGATCACATGGAAGCAGTTGTAGATAACTGTGTGTAAAGGATCTGTAGATGTTAAAAGTTGTTTTTGGTTTTTTTTATTTGTCTCTCCCTCTTTACAGATCATAGGCTGTATCACAATCTGTCCATCATAGCAAGGAGCTAAAGAGATGATGGCTGACTTTCTTAATAATAAGCCTTAAGGACCTTTAAAAAACACAGAAAATGCAAACAAAGCACACATCTCAGTATATTCAGACTCCATCTCCCTTGAGAAGCATCACTTTCAATGACCCACAATTTTGCAGATGAAGTGTGCTAATGTACTAGTCTACTTAAAGGCCTCCAGAAGGATAACCTAATCTCGTGTCTCTGTTCCTATCTCCTCACATCATTTCTAAAAGCACTTTTAATATTTTTTCAAATTAAGCTTGTCATATTAAATGAGAAGCCGCATAGAAATTTAAATAGATTTTAAGTGAATGGGTTGGTAGTGCTTCATTGTTTGAGTTTTGCAAGGACAACACTTGAAAGGGTAGGATAAATGTTCTGTTACCAAGTGTTAAAAGATATAAGCACCTTCAGGTCATATGATGGTAAGCATTGAACGTGTATCAACGTAGATGTCTGTTAGATGAGCTATAGATGTCATGTACCTATTAGTTCAGCCGTAAAGGTATATAATACTTAAGGTTGTCATTCAGTTGTATTTTAGAATTCATTAGTTTACTTGCTTTAAAATAAACTGAAGACTGACCAAATACAACTGTATGTAAAGCTAAATTATAAGCTCAGTTTGACAGGCTATATAGCTGTTTAATTTCTTCAGCAAGTCTGTAAAACTGCCATTAGTCCTGTCTAGTCTCACATTGTTATTGTGTTTGGAATTCTATTGGGATTTGTTTTCAGAGCTTGTCACTCTGAAACATTTGTTATTTTTTGTGTATGTGTGTGTTTTATGCCCTTTATAATGCTATACTTATTTTGTTGTGTTTGTGCAAACATTCTCCACATTCTGCGAGGACAAGTTCACTAAAGATTCCTGTCACGGTTAAGCCTTTCCATCTAAGATGTAATATTTGTTTATTGCTTATCAGAGTTTTTTTGTATAATTCTTTTCTCAGGGGAATTTACCTGTTTCTCCCGGCATTGCAGTGTGTGTACAGTATTGATTTGCAATAAGGGGGAGCTTACTGAATGTTTAAATGAATTATATATTCATGCTCTTCTTAGTGTATAAGTGAGATCATTTCATGTTAGTTTAAAGCTTTCTTGCATTACTTTTTTAGGATGGGGAGGAACTATATTAATGTAATCTTAATATACATGTAGTTCTCGATTAACACTGCAGTTGCATTCCTGAAGAAGTTAGGAATTAACACTAAAGAAGTGTAAATTAAAAATAAATTTCCAAAATTTACAAAGAGTGCATACTGTACAAATTGACAAATTCTTTGCATTGCATTTTATTTTTAACTTTTTTTGTCCACATAGTAGCTTATTATGTTTTATGGTTTTATTGATTGCATCTATGATTTGATCAAAAATAAACGTAAGGTACAGACTAAGATGATAAAGACTTGCAGGTGGTTTATTTAGCAAGTCTAGGGTGATGGGAGATGAACAGTGGCTGGAAGAACGCTGAGGAAAAGACCTGGCTCTCTGTGTGTCACTTGATTTCTCCTGGCTCGTAACTGGGTTCACACAGCATACATTGTCAGGAACACGTCAAGACCCGCACCAAGGCATGTTAAACCGAGAACTAATTTGTTCTAAATTAAGAATAAGTATATAATTCTGAGGCACGTTAAACCAAAAATACAAGAATTTAAGTCGTAAATTGAGAAGTACTGGTAAGGTGCTAGGTGCATAGTATATATATATAGTATGGAATAACTGACAATAGTTGAAGCTCATTTTAAAGATCACTGACTGTTAATAGGGAATGAAATTGAAGTTGTCCGAAAACGACAAAATTGAAACGCAGTACAGAACAAAAGATCAGTGAGCTATGCCTGTCCATTGCCATGTTGTTTGAAGACGTGAACAGTAGTAACGGTAGGACTGGTCTACTCCAGAGACTTGCATTTCTTCCACTCACATCTGTCTTCGGGTGATTGCTGGGCTGAACAGCACTGGGTGTACAAAGACTGCTGTAGATAGTGGTGAGAAATTATGAAGTACAGCTTCCTTTCCTCTTGTAAGTTTTCCTTTCCTTTTGATTTTCTTCCCAGAGAGCTTGATCTGTATCGTGCCGAAGAGGAGATAGAAGAGAGTAAGTTTGAGAAAACAGCCCAGTCTAAGGCAGAGCTAGCAGGTACTGTAGGTGCATGTCATTGCATTCATATCTGTTGTTTTTCCTGAGCTTGCCTAATTTGCCAGACACATATTTGGCTGTTGTGTTTGGAATATTTGTTTGCACCCATTTATTTTGTGTTTTTATTTGTGTTTTACTTCCTGCATACTAATATAAAAAAAATTGTGTTGTATAATTTATACACTAAGAAAATTTCTTTGGATCAACTATTTTAATGATTTATTTGGCTGGCTCTTTGATCCAAAGTGGCTTATATTTGCACCCATTTATACAAATGGACATTAGACTTGCGCTGTGTGAGTAGAAATCCCCAGTTGAGCTGACTGGAATCCACAGCCTTACAGTTCCGAACCCAGACTCCTTCTCCACACTGCTGGTTTATATTTCCTCATTTCCATCATTGTTGTCGTTTATTTTCTTAGTTTAATTGTCTGACACAAAAAGTTTAGTGAATTAATTTCAGTCATTGAATTTGCAAAAAGCATATATTTGTAGTATGACTTCTTGTGTTTATTCAGGAATATAAAAGGATATAATAGAAATCATAGCCTTTTAGTATATGCATTGCAGTATGACTATTGAAATCTCTGTCATGGTGTGAGTTGAAGAGTAAGGGTGTTCTGGTCTTTTTCTGTAAAAGTGAGCTGCTTTAACGTGCCTGCACCACGTATCCATGCAGTACCAGGTTCCCAGACAGGCATCTAACAATGACATTTCTCCAGTTTTAAGCACTGCTTTTTGACATACAGTACAAAGCACTTACAGTGACAGAAAGTGAACAAAGATCTCAACATGCTTCTCTGGTTTTGACTGCTTTCATTGTTTTTGAGCTGTAGGGCTAATTTCAGTGACATTATGCAGAGCCAGTAGACTTTCACAGCATAAGCAAAGTCTTATTTGACAGCACATTAATCCCCGTGTTACTGAATATCCTGTAAAAGGCAGTCATGGAAATATACCTATCAAGGAAGCCATGAGAGAGAGTTCTCACCTGAGTAAGGTCTTTATTTCAATATTGCAATATTGGGAGCTCTGCTCTCACTCTGCAGAGTGCGTCAGAGACTCAGCTTGCTAAAGGCAGCACAGGCTTTTTATAAAGATGTTGTAACGCAGTGGAAAAATACAGCACTCCCTTTCTAATACTTCCCCTTTCCTTAGGACAAAAAGGAAGCGCCAGTACATATTTTTGCAAAACTCAGTAATTGCATTCGGCTAATTTGGTAATCTAGACAGTACGTCCTGCCTTGACAAACTGTCTTCTGACAATCTACATATAGCACAGCAGTTACATTTTTGTTATATATTTTCCTAAGGCTCTTTACATTTTAAGAATCAATTTACTTATTAGATTTCCATTTCAAGGCTTATATAAACCTCAGTTTCTATAAAATACTTACCTCCTGATCAGTATGAACACTTGTTTTAATATCAGTGTTAACTAAATCTGAAATTGTATTCTGTAGTTTAATTTGTGATGATGAGTAGTTCTGACAAACTTTCCCTGTAAGACTGAACCATTTTCTTCTGAGCAAACACATGGAGACACTACAGAAGTCCGTTGTATTGTAAGATAGAAATGTTTTGATTTAATTCTGTAAATAAAATGAACAGTCATAATGAGAGTTATGTGCCGTTACAGTGTGATGTGATAAAATCACAATACTAGAACTAGGATTTCTTGCAGAAACTGGGTATCGGACAAGAAGATGAATAACCACGAACTGAAAACTAGAGATTGAAAACTCGCACTGAGGGAAGCCCTCAATTGCTTATCTCCCCTCTGGGGTCAGTTACAAGAGAAGCAGCCGACCCTCATTTGTCCAAGCAGAATCACCCCGCTGGGGGGTCTCTCGACTCGCTTTCCGTGCTCTAGGTGCTGTGTGATTACTGCATGCCCCCTTCAACTCACAGTGCAGGGCCCATACCCTGAAAGCACGTCTCAAAGGTCATGTCCCGTGTACTGACTCAGCCATCACGGGCTTGCAGAATTAGAGAGGAATGGGGAACCACTCAATCTAACCAATTAGACTGAAAAGTCTAATTTTCAGGCTCTGTGATCTTTACAGTAACATTTATTAATATTAAAGTAGATCTCAGCCATACAACAAATCAGAAATCGTATTCTAAGAAATTGAGATGTCTGTCGATTATTAGAATTACTATTCTGTAATGGATTTGTTTGGGGGGGAGTATTTTAAATGGGATTGGCTGTTCAGTAGATGCTGGGTTGCCAACTGCAAGTTTATTCAATAGTCTGTGAAAAAGGTCCAGTTTTAAGACCTTCATCTGGATGATGGAAAGCAAAAACGGAGCACAGATGCTATGAATCAGCATCATCCTATTCCGTTGTGTTGTGACTACCCCATCCTCCTCACCAGAAACTGTATCTTTTAAAACTTGAGATTTTCTGTTGTTAAGACAGTAGCAAGAAATCTGCAAAGTTGGCAGCCCTAAGCGGTAGAGATATCAGACAGCAGGATGAATAGCATATTGGCCAAACAGCTGACGTTGATGACTAGTGGCATCCTGATCAGAAGGTAATGATATGTTATATAAACTGTGATCCCTGTCAAGTGACTTAATAACTATGGAATTGGTTTGCTGATGAATTAACCACAGTTAGGCTTAAAGTCTGATTGTTGTATTTTGTTTTTGGTTTTTTTCTGTTTTATCCTTGCCTTTATGTAACTTTTTTTTTCTCCCAATATATGCACTCAGTTCCTCAAGACAAGTGTAGTGTTGCCCCAGAGGTGGATATATTAACATACAGTGAGAAAGAGTGGAAGGGAAACACAGCGAAAAGCGCTCTGATTAAGAAGGTTGGTTGGTCTTTCATTAGGTTTTCTAACATTAAAATAAATCACATTTCTCCCAAATCTCCCAATCCTACTTTTTGGCACAAATAAAAAAAATACATAGGGAATGAAAAACCACAATCTTTTTGATTCAGATAAGGTTGGTACTTTTTGTTTTTCTTCTTAAAGTAGAGATACAATTAAGTGAACCCAACAAAAGTTATTTGTTTTCGTAACAAAAATCCAAACTTAAGAGATAGCATAGTGTCAGTGAAATGCCATGTGAATTTTAAGAAACAGTTTAGTTAGTTACAGTATGTTCTGTCAGTTTTTAGGTAGTGAGGTTTATTACAGTATTCAACAATTTTGTAATTTGTTCTTGCCAGTGTTGGTGTGCAGTGCAAACTACCAAGCCATACAGTGCATAAGGACATACTGACTCTTCAAGAAATTGCTTGATCAGATACTTTTCTATATAGTTCATGTAGGTAGCTGCGTCAGCATGGGTAGGCTGCATAGAAACAAGAACGGTTTATTCCAAGCTGAAAAGAGAAGAAAGGATTGCTCACATCCGAAGAAGGCTCCACAGCTGAAATGTTGTTTCCTTTCTTTCTCTTTTCAGCATGGAATAGACATTTACTTGTTACTTTTCTTTATGACCTACTAGGATGAGCAAGATGGCTCTTCATGCTCTTTCAAGGTTGAAGTTTTCTTTTTCCATCTCCCTATTTCCTCTTTCAGGGTTATGAAGAGGTCTCCAAATGTTTCAGTGGCCTACGCCGAGTGAGGGGAGATAATTACTGTGCACTGCGAGCAACTCTTTTTCAGGCAATGTCTCAAAGCACTGAGGTCCCCGACTGGCTTCAGAAAGAAGACACAACACAGGTACGAGTGTCTCTCATTCTCATTCTCATTTTTTGCATGGCCCAGGACAAGGAGTTGTTTTGTGTGTGACTGAAGCAAGATCTCAGACAGCTGGCTCTTAAAGGGTCTATCACCGTTCAGTCTTTTTTCTTCATAGTCTGGAGGTTGTTGACCAGGCCTAGGCCTTTCATACTGGAAAGCACCCTGATCAGTATCATTCTTAGGGCTTTTAACTTTCCCCCTCTGTAAGTTTTTAAATACATTTCCTTCTGTTCCTAAGGTTCTTCATTTCTGTTTCATGTACTTTTCTTGCTGGCAAGTTGTGCTTTATTTCAAATTTACACTGAATGATCACAAGGCCTATAATGGAGTGTAATAGGTTGATTAAAATATAATTCCCCATCATTTTACATAATGTTTTTTTTTTAATCCCCATGAGCAGTCTGTGCTGTGTTTTTTCTGTGCTGAGATAATTTTAAAGATTGCAGCTGCAATTGAAAGGAATCAAGTGCGTGTTTACAGCAGTTCCCCGACAGGCTTGTGTGGAGGTGATCTACTTTCCTTGCACAAATCCCAACAGCCAGAGTTCAGAAGTCTTTTCATGGGCTGTTCTTGCTGTAATGGTTGAAAATTGAAACTGAAACAACGCAGTGGGACAGTTCACATGAAAGGGAAAACACAAAAGATTGAAACTGTGCCGTTTTCTCACATGAGTCTTAATCAAGTTTCCTCACTCCTGCAAATAATCTGTTTTTAGATTATACCGAGGTAGTAGAAAAGCAAAGCGTTTTTGTATAATTTGGTACAATTTAAAGATTTTTCTTTGCTCACATTTTTTTAATGACTATAAAATAAGCTTAAAATGAACTGTTTCGGTAAGTGAGCTGCGGGCCCCTACATATTCCATATCTGATAATCACATTCCTTTCTTGTGTGTTTATGTGTGATACACAAGCAAAGAGGGATGTTGGAGATGATGAAGATTGTAGGCCTCATTTGTATTCCCCCTTCACCCCTTTCAAAATCCATTCGACTGCTTTGCTCTATCACCTTGGTGACCAAACCTCTGACCGGTTCACTTTTAAAAATGGTATTCCTAATGATTTCTGATTGTCTGTGTGCTACAGTTGCCTGTGAAGCTAGCTGCAGATCATGAGTGGATTGCACAGTGGAGGTTTCCCCAGGGCTGTGGGAGTGAAACCAAAAGCGCGACAGAGCTGCTGACACAGAACCTGGAACTGCTGAAGGAAAAGGTACACAGTCCTTGTTTTATAATCACATCATGGTAGGTCATGGGTCTGATTTAGTAAAACTATATATCAGCTGTATAGTTATATATTAATGTACAGTACCAGTCAAAAGTTTGAGTACACCTCCTTGAAACCATTCCTGATGATTTTTGCTTTAAACTGTATAAACGTGTCTATAAACACTTAATATTTAATTACATGATATGTGTACTTATAATCTTAAGTGGGCTGCATTAAAAAAGGTTAATTTTTCTTTTTTCAATTAAATGAACACCCCAAAGCAAGCGGATTTCAATCTGAAGCTCAGGTTAGTTAAAAGTCAGAAATGTCTATTACATGGTGTTTGTACACTAAACAAAGTTTTAGCATGTTACCTCATTTACCTTTTGTCACCAATTATTGGTAAACAGGTGAGGGTCCACGATTACTATAAATATAGGGAGTATGGGCAAAAGTTTGTAATTCCTGAATGAACAAGGCAAAACTGTGCTCAGTTAAGCAAGGAAAAAAGAAGGTCTATAATTACTTTAAGAAATGAAGGTTAACCTTTAAGACAAATTGCAAGAACTTTGCAAGTGTCAGTAACTGCTGTGGCCAAGACTATCAAACGATATGAAGAAATTGGAACTTATGAGGACCGAAAAAGGTCAGGCAGGCCAAACCTGTCCTCAGAATCAGAGAATACGTTCATTAGAGTCACACATCTGTGAAACCGGCAACTAAGGGCCTGTGAAATATAAGCTGAGCTCAGTGCAACTAGAAGTACAGATGTTTCAACATAAACTGTTCAGAGGAGGTTACGTGAAGCTGGCCTACCAGGAGGAATTGCAGCAAAGAAACCATTGTTAAGAGTGCAGGATAAGAAGAAGAGACTTGCCTAGAAACACAGAAACTGGACCTCTGAGGCAACAGTGTCAACATGGAACAAGCAGACAAAGACATTATCAGCAAAGGAAGACAGTGGGCTAAAGCACATACTCCAGGATTATGATATCCATTCAGTAATTTAAAAGGCAAGGCAAAACAGGCTAGCAACTTTGGACCATTTGACTGCAAATTTCAAGCTGAGGCACAAGTAGCCAGTTTAATTAAAAGGGGAACTGCGATGCTATTTTTATATCTTGGTGTTAGAAAGAATCGACATTGATGAGTGCATTTCAAACCACAGTAAAAGTAAAATGGATGCAGTAATGTGTAAAACCACCAATTTCCATCACAAACTAGACACAATTACCAGGTATGTGCGGCGCCGTATTGCCATCATCAGTGATTAAGAATAAGGCAACAAAACTTCCGGTGAGGTGAAGGTGCCTTCTTACATTGTAAACAAGCAGGTTTGTGAATATATCTCTTTTAATCCAATTGAAATATTGAGAAGGTTTCACCAACAAATACTGCTTGTTAACTCTGCATGCAGATCACATTGGAACATTTCAGCGGTGAAACATTTCTGCTCGTACATCGTGTTACATTTGTCATTACAGTAACTAGTGAACACGAAGGGCCGCCGCTTCACAGCAGAATTCTCACGAACACTCGCTCTCGCCTGTGGTGAGATCAGCAATGTGCCACAACATGGTGACAATAAAGTACTTTCACAAAGTTTTGTTTAATTTGGAATTTGTCAGATTCTGCGAGGAGGTTTTGTTTTGTTACAGAGATGTAATAACCAGTCTGAGAAATGGGGACTATAGTTCCTCTTTAAAATAGGGTGCTGACAACTCCACAGTGTGGGATGGCAGAGTCGGCTTCCACTGCAAAGAACACCCATCGCACCTGATAGTGCACATGAACAAGTCCGGTGGTGCCAGATGCAAGGTGCACATGTGGTGCCAACCTAAAGAAATCTACAGCCCTGAGTGCTTGCTTCCAACAGTGTAGGGTTATGGTGGTTCCATAATGTTCGTGCCATGGTTTGGGTGCTTATATTTGCTTCATATCAATGTAATCCGTATGTCATGGCCTTCTCAATCACCAGATCTTACTCCAATCAAGTAATTACGCTATATTCTGGAAGAGCACCTGAGACCGAATTTTCCATCTCCTTCAGGCAGACATGAAGGAGCGAACAGGACCCCTCTGTGTGAACAATGAAGCTGTATCCCTCCTACAGAATTCCAGACATTCGTAGACTCTTACACTATGACACATATAGGCAGTACTAGTATCCTCTGAAGATACTGAGATTTTTCATCTGTCTTTGCCTGCTGATGTTTATGGAGATTACAGGGTATGGTGTCTACAGACCGTCAATGTTTGCGTTGCTGAAAGAAATTCCAAAAAACGTACAAGAGGAGTACTGGTCAGTGTTATGAGGGTTATTAAGTGTTGGCCTTCATCTTCTTAAAAAGGGATACAGTGCTAGCTGAAAATGAAGATCTTTCTCTTGCATACTTTCCTATCTGTTGTAGTAATCACAATATCTTTCTTTAAAAGATAAGGTGCCTGACCTGTTTATCATAAAGAAACTCACCAAAATATAGGCTGTATGGTTAAGGCCTTGTCAGTCTGTATGGGAATTTATGTGAGGCTTTAACCTGCCATCAGGAAGGTTTTCATTGGTCTGAATATGTGAAGACGCTTAGCTCAGCTGCACAGTTACTGTGTTTGTGATTTGTCTTTTCTTTTTTATTTTGTCGTTCCTTGTTTGAGGCATTCCTCCTGTTCTTTAGGAGCAAATCCTGTTTATTTAAACCAGCTTTTCGACAGAGAGTTCCAGAATGAAGGGGTGTGTTTTGTTTTAACAAGTGATTTTAATCCATAAAGACTTCTGCTTTTATGTTTTATTTAGCTTAAGCCTATTAAGTTGGATTAAATATCAACATGTTCTCTCTCACATTCATAAGGGCTGGAAAGTATTGGTCAAGTTCCTTTGTGCAAAATGCCAGCCAACCATCAATTTCTCCAGCTCAGTCAAAGGCTTGCAGGCTGTATTTGCTCTGGAGTTAGAGAAAAAAATTAATCTGACAGCTTTTGCTTGGAGATGTTTGTACTTTGTCTGCTAAATCACTTATTTGTCCTTTGTGAGAATTGAAAATTCTTAAAATGAAGTAACAGAGTTAAGTGAATATGACAAGTAGACTGAACAGTGGGAGAATTATGAAATGAGCTTAAGACTCTACTACACAGGCTACAGTCCTAACCAGACCTTCTACTTAAGTTATTATTTTCCCTATATTGAAAGAAATCTAAAATTATGTTTACAGTGCGAATTCCTAGAGTGTCTGCTTCTTGAATCCTTTTATTTTCCCACAAGAATATTTAAATCTATAACTCATTGCCTATGAAGTTGAAGGGGGGGTGATTTTCACAGGAGCACTGTGTGCAGTGACCTCCGAGGTCTCCAGACCTACTGTACCAGCAGGGTCACGGAGCGGCATGTCTTGTGTGTGTCAGTGGCAGGTGGTGGCGCAGGCTGGCGGCGTGGCCGAGAGATGGGACGCGTGCAGCGGTGTGTTCCGGAACGAGGAGGAGGAGTACCGCCTGATGGAGGCGCTCAAGTTCCTGATGCTGAGCACCGCCGTTGAGCTGCACGGCCTGATGGAGGAGGAGAGGGACGTGCCTGTGTTTTGCTGGCTGCTGTTCGCGCGGGACACCTCCAGCTCCCCTTGCACATTCCTCACCAACCACCTGAATCAAGTGGGCTTTACCGGTGGGCTGGAGCAGGTCAGCCAGGCTCCTTGGGGTTTCTCCTTTATCCTGTGGCACTTTGATTTCACAGTCACGGAGAGCAGACATACTCCACCAATAAGACTGAATTGTATAACAGTTTTGTGTATACAGTGCACTGCATGTATACTTATGTTGTCAGTGTATCCCAGTGCAAAGAGCCATTATTAAATTTGTAAAGACTTTTCTGATATTATATACTGTATATATATTTTTTTTAACTTTTATGAATAAGTGGCTACCAACCCTCTTGGACTATCCCAACTTCCCTGTTACCTGCAGCTTTTGTGTTTTCTGAAGTGTGGCAGATTTTCATAGTTTTTGAGTGGTACCATTTACAGTTCTTCTTATAAAAAAAAAAGGGTTTCCAGCCCTGGTGCCAGAGAACCGCAATCCAGTCAGCCTTGTAGGTCACACCCCTACAATTTTTTAGGTAAAGATTAGGTAAATTGTGTAACTGATTAATGAAGCAAGTAATCTGTTCACTTAAGGGAATTATATTTATTTAGTGCTAAATGGTATTCTGATTTTGCTCCAGATGACCTCTGAAGAAAAAAAAAAGCAGGTTTAATTGCTTACATTAAATTGTCCGAGCTGTTTTGCAATTAATAAATTAGAAGTTACATTTACAAGACTATCTGGATTGGGGCTCTCTAGGGCCTGTGTTGTGAACCCCAGCTTTATAACAATTCAGAATTGAAATTCATGACAAATTATGCAGACTAGTACTTGAAGGTATTGTGTGCCACGGTGGACTCACTACTGATTTTATGCTGTTTGCTGTTGAGACAGTGCCTTTATTTTTAATTAGAATGACATCTGCATCCCTGAGTTAATTGAATGCAGTGCACTGAATTAAGATCCACGAGTGCTAACTGATTCAACTGATACCCTTTTTTTTCCATTTTTCCCGACCTTATTGATAATTGATCTTTTTGACTTTTTTACCTGAGTATTTTCTAGCCTTTGTTACTTTATATCATAGTTGCAAATGTTTCCTGCTCTGCTAACGGTGTTTTGTTTTTATACCTTAACCAACAAGACAGCTAGATGCTTTCGCCCCATTGCTGCACTGGTTTAACCCTTACGAGCAAACTAGTGTACTAGTTTTTATTATTATTATTAATTTCAGATGCTGTTTGCATTGCTGGATGTTAATTAACTTGCAATTGATTAAATATGGTAGAAATGATAAATGATTCTACGGTACTCAAATCGAATTGCACAATGACCCTGAAATAATCTGTTTTGTCTTTCAGGTGGAGATGTTCCTGCTTGGTTATGCTCTGAAGCAGACAATACAGGTGTACAGACTGTACAAATCAGAGACTGATGAGTTTATGACCTATTACCCTGATGATCACAAGGAAGAATGGCCAAGGGTGTTCCTGGTCACAGAGGATGACCGACACTACAACGTGCTTGTGTCGAAGCAGGGAAGAACGATGCCATAGCAGAAAAGGATATCTGAGGCTCTTTATACTTTCAGAAGCTGCAGAGGTTTGGGGCAATCCAAGATGGCTGAATGTTTATTGAATTGTCCTGCCTGTCCAGAATAATGGATATTCAGAGAGGCTCATGCCTAAGTGTAATTCAGGGAATTATTAGAGCCCCGTGGTAAATGTTTGAGGATTCGAATGTTGACTCAATTTTATTTCTTCTTATTGAAGAAGATAACCTAACAGCACTTGAATATTTTTTTTTATCTGACAGAGTTAAATGTTTAATTTATAAAGCTAATGTTTCATGGATACTGGAGTAAATTTAGACACAATAGCTAATTAAGGGTAGAGAGCAGAATTTGTTTTTTTAACTATTACTCCTTTGTACTTGATGACTACAGCTTTACGCCATAATGAGAAGTTTTTTTCTGTGATGCTAAAAAAGTGTAATTTTTTGTATTTGAAGATTAATTTTCAGGGATTTCTTCAGAAGCCAGAATCATTTTAAATCTCATGGGTCCACGTGCTCCCTTATGCTATGGGTTGTAATATGTTTACTGCAGACTTTTAAAAGCATTGCCCTTCTTAAAACAAATCGGACAAAGACAAAACGGAAAACACTAATTTTTGACAAGCAGAAAACAAATCAAGAATAGGTGCTTTACAGATGCTGTGCATCAGGAAAGCTCATATCTCTGAGACCACAATCACAGTCAAAGTGGCTAGCTGGGATTGCCAACTCCAGTTCATGAGATCCACAACCCTAGAACGTTTTCTCCAAGGGTTGAGGTGGTGACTTTCAGTAGTTTTTTTCTGTTTGGCAGGGAAGTAAGGAAAGCAGAAATACCTACCCCTCTGTGAACTAGCCATCCCAGCTTCATAGACACATCCCCACGTTCCAGGTCACGGGATCCCTTTCCCAAATAATCAGGCTTGCATTTTTCTGACTGTACACAATTACTCATAAGTAGACCCTTTGAACTCCAGTTAAGTGCTGGCTTAACTGAAAAGTTTGAAATAACTTTTTTGCTTTCTGACAGTTGCGAATTCATTGTATTTTTTTAGCTTGCTTAAAATCTCAAAAACGGCGGATAATTCGTTTTATTTATTAGTTTATTTAATTGGAGTGAAAATAAGCTAGCACTGGGATCACATTGACCAGGACTGGGAAGCCCCAGCAGAAGGTATTTTACACTCGGTACCGTCATGGTTCAAAGCTTCCCAAATAACAGTAGGATGTAGTGTATTTTGTTTTCCTTCTAAATAAATTGTTGATCTCAACAATTGTTGATGCATATATTTTTCAATTACCAATTATTGTACTTATTAATGAAAAAGCTTTCAGTGATCATGTGCTATGATGACACCATGACAGGTGCTATTTGTGTGCACTTGGTTATACAGCAGACAAGGTATAACTGGTCTGGATATGATTTTCTCATCTAGAGCTAAGTAGTCCCCTTAGAGGAGTGCTTTCCCTTCCCTTGTTAACCTCATTTCATTTGGTTCTCCCAGGCTGGAATTTAATTGGATCCCAAAAAAACAATACCGTTACAGTAGACTATGCTGAAGGAAAACCAACCCATTACACCTTGTTGAAATGATCATCTTGGGACAGTTCATCATTTAAATTACAATTTAAGTTATTGATCTTGGAAGGCTCTTGAAATTGTATGATCACTGGAAAATGATGGTTTCCATTAAAAGCAGGTTTGCATTTAAAACCTTATCCTTTATTAACATACAAAGTCAATAGTGAGACTAAGCCTGCAAGCATCTGCAAGCACTCCACAGCAGTAGCAGTCACTGTAAGTGCAGTCACTTGTGAGGAGATGAGACCGTAATTTGGGAGTATTTTGGGAATAGGTACATTTTCTGTTCCCTTTCCAAAAAATCCTTTTGCAATAAAAGGCTTTTTTCCGTACACAGAGAAGCAATCGTTATACCATCGTTAACAGGAGGTCCTGCCTCCCCCCTGTCTTCTGCTCCAGTTGAGTTCATAATCGCTGACGCACCCTGAGTTACGACCCACCACTGCTTGAGCTTACAGTTTTGTTTCTGCAAAACTACTGATTTGTAGATTTGACAAAAAAAAATTCTAATCTGTGCGTGTTGACAAAAAATGTTTCTGGATATCAGAGTTTTTTCCAGTTTCACACATGATCACAAAGGACTGTTGCGTTAGTGGAAGATACTAATGGTTTTATCCTCAACACTAAGTAAAACTATTTAAAAAAATGAAGACCACATCAAATCTGTAGCATTAAATCACCCTTTAATTATTGAGGAATACTTAAATTTTGTTCTTTTTCAGTAAAGGAATTTTTTTTTTCCCCTCCCTTCTTACTCATGGTTCAGCTACTTTCAATGGAACCACAAAGGTCCAGAAAGTTGTCTGATAAAGGGTTATCAACTACAGTAAACTACAGAAGCTCAGGTGCCTTTAAATACTTGTCGTTCACTTGTTAATGGGGCCTGTGTATGATGAGAGCTTGAACCACAGCTGGAAATCTGTCCTGAGATTTAAAAAAAATGAATTCCCAGATTCAAGAAACAACAGGTATGGCAAAAAGTCTTTAGTAGTCAACCAGACTACAGACTACTGTTCCAGCCCCTGCCATTTCATTTATACAGGATGCCGCCATTACAAAATAAACTGCTAACGATATTTGTACACCAACACCATTATATTTTTAAAAATTCCCTTAAATGGCACTAAAGCACCAAGCCTGCACACGCACGTCAAAAAACAGTTACCTCTATTTGATACTCCAATATAAATCTGTAGATACAGTGACTCTAACAACTCTGCCAGTATAAAAGCCAAGCATTTTGATTTTTGACCAAAGCTTTGCTGCAAATTAGAAATTCAATGGCAAAAGAAAGCTGTCAATATGGTGACGTCAGTGTAGTTCTTTTTTTCATTTTCTTGTCCATTCAAGATATGAAAGTCCCCCCCCCCCAAGCGATGAAGGTTTGTCTTGTAGCAGTTCAAGAATGAAAAGGACGGCAGCACAAAATTCAGCAGAGAGAAGAAAATACGAATGCGCAGTGTTGCTTTGGTACAAATGGCGCCTTTGCTGTCCTGCGATTGCGGAACCCGGTGAAGACTGGAAGACTCTTTCCGAGAGTGATGGTCCTGTGCTACCAAACGCAGCCGCTGCAGGCAAGCAAAGGCCCTCTTTACCCCCTGACGGACATGATCTCTGTACACTGTGGAGATGGCAGAGGTCCACAGTTGGTCCGGACTGTGGCACTGTTGGCAATAGGAGACCAGGTGGGGGCAGCAGCAAGTGTAGCCTGTCCACACAGTAGGACTGGCCCCGCCTCCTGAGTCCACAGCCCCGCCCAGCGCCTCACTCGTCCTCCTCCCTCATCTCCACCATGTCATCCATTTGTCTCCTGGGCCCGACTTCGTTCATCGGCGCAGAGTCCTCCCCCTCGACTGCTGCCTCGTCGTCAGGGTCTTTATTTTTTTTCTAAAATGATAACGGTTCCAGAGAAAGTATTAATCGACACTCACGGAAACAAAGCACTGGTGGCCAACTCCTCTAAAGGAGACTTGCATCTCTGCATGTTTTCTAGCCATCTTTAATTCCTCAGTTCCTAAAACACCAACATCTTTCATTAGCCTGAATAAGAAATTGAAACAAGTGAGGTGAAACGAAAAAGGAGAAGAACCTGAGGACTCAGGGATTCAATTCACCACCCTGCCACTGATGCCAACACCTGACCTCAAGAATCAACTGGCTGGTTTCTTTTTTCCAGCTCTGATGTGTTAGAGAGTAGCGGGACACGTGCTTGAATGTGGAATAAATTGGTCACCTATGCAATCTTTTTCTTCTGACCCTAAGTGTGCTGGAGTCAGTCTTCCTATAAACTCCATATAGAAGGTACCCCAAAATCAAACCCAGGACTTTAGAGCTTTGAAGCAGCTGCCCAGTGGCTACTGTTACAATAAAGAAATGCAAATCCATACTGAAGTAATACGGAACCATACATGTGTATCCCTAAATAAGCATTAAAAGGATCTACACTAATTAGTAAGCACAATCGCCAGATAATACCTTTAAGTTTTCTAAAATCCAGTATATCAATATATAATTACATACAGTATATGTGTCTGGCAATCGGACCACATGAAAAGTCAGTAGTGTTTGTAGTGTTCCCATATGGAGCAAAGAACCAACATTCCAAAACCTAATTTCCAATCACCTGTGAGATCTATTGTAATTCAGCTCCAATAACATCATTGCTTATACATCTTTTAGTCAGCCTGTCTGAAACACACAGATTTAGGTTGGCAAATGTTTAATGTGTTTGGTATGTGAATGAATTGAACTCTGCATAAAGTCTCATATTCCATCATTATCCTAATTATCTAAATTATGCAACACTTCAAGAAATTTCCCAATATTGACAAAAAGATTATTCTGACTCAACTGAACTAGTCTATTACCAAATATTTTTGGAATTTTCCAATATCCTAGGATTCTATATTACTAAGAATAAATAAATGTATAACAAACTTCAATCATGATAAATTTGTAAAATTTCACTAGCGTAATTGTAATTACAATGCACTTAAAACAGACTTTGACGCATATGGTACAATCATTAGGGGGGGAGCATAAGTGTCTAGTCAGTTAAGGAATTACAGATATTTAAAAATGACATTTGAGGGTGAGAAGATTCTGAATCTGACATTGTTTCCGCGGCCCACACTAGTGTTCAGACCGCATCTGTTGAAAAAAACCAGCAAAGGAAACTTAGAGATGATCTATCCACATACGTGGGCAATGTCGAGTCTGGCTAGACTGCCTAACATTCAGAAAATGTTTTTCGTATTGTACCCTTTCAGCGCTGGTGCCACTTTGCATGTCTACACCTACACGTGACCACTCCAGTCTTTGCAATAGTGTAACTTTTCACGCATTCACCTTGGGAACATGAATTTAATTAATGTGATAAATTAATGTTTAATGAAAACATTAACAGTATAAGTGCAGCCCTCATAAACAAAAGATGAAAATACAAGTGAAATTATCTAGCAGGAAAGTGTCCATGTGCATGTGTGTGGTGAATCAATAAGAAATCTCAAAAACTCAAAGCATAATCAAGAATTTTTGCCACAAACTTGCTTCAAAGTTTCAACTCTCCTTTAGTCAACAAAGAATAATGTATTCAATTATTCTCAAAGACAAAACGGTACACTAGTTGAGAATGTGTAACACATACTAATGTACATTCTCTTGGTAGCTATGAAAAGGAATTTCCCTTTTCATTAAGTGGGTGGAAAGGCAGTAGTTTGGGGCTGTATTATTATTTTACCTATCACTAATTAGAACCTGAAAATGAAACTCTATATAATATTTGACCTAAAAAGATATACATTTGTAGATATATTTTAATCTATTACTTAGGCAACTTATTTTTCTAATGCTTGTGTAAGACAATATTGATTTATTCTACAGAATATTTGTGTGTGTTATTCTGGAAATTATTACTGAAGAAAACTATATCTCAAGGAAACAATGTTCATTTCTCAGGAGATGCTGTTTTTTTGTTTGTTCATTGTTCTGTTAATTATGGGAAGTACAGCCTACATTTTTCATACCTGTTTTCTATACACATAGCAGGCAGCTATTGCAACCATAGTGGATTCTCCAAGGAAACCGGCCAGCAGAGAGCCCACCCCTAGTGTGGCACCATGGACCCTGAAAAACACAGAACAGAACTGAAAAATAAACAGCCTCAAAAAGAGTGGATTGAACTCGTCTACTATGTTTTGGAAATAATGGGTTTGGCACATACAGATGTGTATATTTGTCTCTACCTAAGCGAATTTATCTTAAGTCATAAGAATGAAAAAAATGCAGTTTCAGTATTACATATGTATTCCTTTACAAGCTAATAAAACAGCAGCAGAATAAGGCACACTTAAAACATTACCTCAGCTCAGAAAGAAATGAAAGCCAAACGCATTTGTAAGAACAAGTACCTCTGGGTGTGTTATGAAACAGCAAGTGTTATCCTTCAGGGCTAATAGTAAAATGGACAAGTGCTACTGCTGTTGGCAGCAATTTCAAAAGTTCTGCAATATGCTGACAGGCAGGTAAATACAATCAATTAAAACAGATTCTTTATTTCAAGTGTGAAGTCATTTCTAACCAAATCGACATATATTCAGACAAACACTGGCAACCTATTTTCAGAATAATATAATATAAAAAGTATATTGTTATTAATGTTTTTACTACCTCTTAACTATACCTCCAAGAACATTGTGTTCTCATATTATACTGAGTCATAAGAAAGGTATTCATGTGAACTTGCTTATTTCAATATTTTGGTCAGCAATGGAATCCACACACATACTGTACTGTACATAGGTTTTTGAGATTTTTTTATTTTAAATGTTTAATTAAAAAATTATTAAATTTTAATACTGAATTTTTAATTGGGATTTTTTTGTTATTTAACATTATCTAACAATGATATCTTCAGTGTTCAATTTATCTTAGCGAGCTGTAGTTGAGATATCTAGTCAATTACCCAATTTAATGTAATGAAAACTTCCAAAACTCCAAAGGCTTCTACAGAATGTGGATTGTTCATACTTTATATACCCATATGTACCTAAGGTCTCCTGCAAAATGTACTACAGCAGAGTTTCATTTTGAACTAGCATAGCATGTATTTCTAAACAGTTTACAAGATATACTTTATACTCTTTATCTCTTTAACAGTTTGCAGTTAATCTTTCTTTGTCATATCACACATTAGTGACAAAAGTGTTATCACCCGTCACTGTAAACAGAAAGGCTTTTATTAATTTACAGTAGTTTTACATTCTTTAGGAAACCATACTCATTCCACAATAACAAAAAAAAAACTTCTGTTTTCTAGGCCTGCAAACTTCTAGAAGAAAGAATTGATTACTATAAGTAGCTTAATGGATAATATATAAAGCGATTTCAAGGCCTACAATGAAACATTACAATAGTTCCGCTTGCTGCTGTGCAGGTGTTTGAACACAGAAGGCATCACAGAGGGTTAAATACAACCAGCAAAATCTCTTGGATGACTGTTCTAAATGGGGTGCATCGTCTCACGAAAATGAGCTGTGCCAGGCCTCTGTGCAAGAATAAAATGTTGTCAACACCACACACATCTTCCAGGATTCTCTGCCTAACGGGGTGGGCTGTTTCTCAAATCGCCCAAGACTCCTGACTTATACACTAATTGCAGCTGGACTGGTTCAAACAAGTCTGCTTATTGCAGGTACTGTAGCATACCACATGTTTATCCAGGACCTCAGATGCACTTGTTACAGCTCTTTATTTTTCTCTGACTCTCCCATCCAGCATTGCTTATCCACATCAAGTTCCTTATGTTCCTTCAGGCGCTGGCATGGGAAACTATGGATTTATTTTATATTAAAAAAACAGGAAAGGTTTTCCAAAGAAATTCCCCAAAAGTTTATTACATACAAGATGCCCTATATAAAGTATAAATCATAGTTTTACACAGTACTTAAGCATCTATTATGAAATACTCCAAACTAGCATTAACAATAATGTTTTGTTTTCAAACATCTACAGTTAAAAATATATATATATATATCTGGCATAGAACTAGAAGGGAAATTTATACAGTTTCACAAACAGTTGAAAACCCTTCTTTTTTATGGCTCAAAACAATTCAATATACTTAACCTGTTTTTTAATGTCACTTCTGCCTATCAGCAGATTTTTTATTTGTTTTCAATGCCCTGCTACAATGTTTTTTTTTTTGTAAATTCACAAACAGAAATGAACATTGTTTTTGGAGGCTTGCCAATGTACAATTGTCCCCTGACCTCTCACTTAAAAGACTAATTCAAGCACTGAGCTTTTTGCTATTTTTAGCTTTGTTGATCAATTTTAGACATTGACCTTTACAGCTCTTTCCAAAGAAGAGTGCCAAATTAAAAGATCATAAGATATGTTGCATAGAAGAGGAGGTCATTCAGCTCATCTATCCCATGGCAATAAGTAGCTAATTGATCTGAGGATCTCTTCCGTTTTGTAAAAAAAAATCAGGATACTGATTTCGAAAACATTTTAAGGTTCTGTAGCTTGTTCCATTCTCCCAATGTGCCTCCTGTTTGCAGTTTTAAATGTGTTTCCACATCGTGTCAACTTGTGACCTCTGGTTTGTGTTTCCAGTTTTGACTTTGTCACGGCCTTTCAGAATGTTAAATACTTAAATCAAGTCTGTTTATAGCCTTCATAGTTCATAAATGATAATTGCTCAGATTCTTTAGTTTGCAAGTGTACAGTACGACATTCACGTTTTATGAGGTGTCAATTCTATTTTTTTTTTTTAGAAAAGGGCAATGGCCTCAATTCGTCGTTGATCTTGTCTTATCAGACTTTTATTGAATATGCTTTAACTTTTACCCTAGTCTGCTAGTTTGGGAATCTAAATCTAAGGATTATTGTCCAAATTCAGTATGTCAGAAAGTCTCGGTGCTGATCTTTCGGCTCTTTCCTACGTGTATATTTTACGAGTCTTGCAAAAAGCATATTCTGTCCTACTGGACCCTTCATACACTTTGTGTAATGAATTCCAATTACTCTGTGCAGAAGGCAGATACCAATTCCCCAATTTAAAAACAAACAGGTTTAAGTTCTCCTTTATA